TGGCAGTAACCAACGGTACAGATTGATCATTTCTGTCGTTAGGAGGAGGGTTCAAGTCAGAAAAAGGCGTACTTCGCGACGGGATGACCGTTTTTTACAACTTCGAGTTTTCAGAAAGTCGCGGTTACCTGCTGTTCAAGCCAGAAATAACCTTAAAGACACTCGAGGAGTAAGAGTGACTGAGCCCACAGTTCACAGGAGATTTACTGAAGTTGGTATAGGGTCGTGCATACCCGAGAAAGCTCCAACTTGTGACACAGCACCGAAAAAACATATTGAACTTTTCACGTGAATATCGTGATTGGGTCTTGAACGACTGGAGGCATGATCTCTTCACTTATGAGTGCAGAGTTCTCTTAAACCAGATCGATGGAAGATAGCGAATATGGAGACACAAAGAGAACGTAACATTTAGTCTTAATTTTGAAAATATCGTGGTTTATGGAGGTAGCTTAATTCTGGTGTGGGGAAGGATTTTTTTGGGAGCTCGCACGGAGTTAGTGGTGGGTGATGGAGGAAATACGACTTCTGAATGGTACACTAGGAACATTTTAGAAGAACATGATGTGCCATTTACTCCATTTATTGTGGACTCCTTTAGTTTAATTCACGATAATGTTCGTTTTCACAGTGCTCGCTCAGTACAGGCACATCTAAACCATTTGGATATACCCATGATGCAGTGGCTGGCAAGATCCCTAGACAAGAATCCTATAGAGCATGTCTTGGACTTTCTTAAAAGATGTGTTAAACTCAGAATACCACCGGTGGTGTTGAGAAACGCGTTACTAGAGGAATGGCAGACATTGCCCCAAAATACCCTTCATATCATTAACTGCAGCATGCTCAGATGAATGGAAACCATCATCAGAGCAAGAGGGGGAAATACCCATCATTAATTCATTCATTTGGATAGTGATAAGCTACCCTAATTTTTAATCTGGCCACAATTTCTAATTTTTGTTCAAAACTGAAAAATTGAAATTTCGTTTCGATGATTTTTTATTAAATAAAAACGACTAAATATTTAAAAAATATATGTTATTTTATTTTATTTTAATTATCTCTTTATTTTGTATAATAAATATTTCATAGATCAGTAGTAATTTTCCTTATTTTCATACTTTTTTTTGCGTTCCGCTAAATCTGCCGGTGTGTGTACATACACATATTATATGGCAGTCCTAGTAGGTACATGATTGTGAAATAACTAATATTGTCGAGATTGACAATCTTAATATTAGTTGGATTTATTTGACCAGTAATTAGTTAAATATTACAATTACATTATGTACTTAATATAAAAATTTGGTTCCCCAAAAATATGCGACAGACACTACAAGACACAATCAATTTATGGTTGTCTATGGTTCAAATTTCCAATATTCAAATATTGACTCGGTTTATAAAACCTACTTTAGGTCAGAATCAGGTATCATGAGTTTACTACATTGTTTTATTTTTTTTCTTGCAGTTCAGTTTCGCTCCTAATTAAACATGAAGTTACTACACATAAAATTTATTTAAAACTACAAAATTATCCCTTAATAAAAAAAATCCTTCAAAACCGATGGTTACACACAGCACTTCGTTAAGTATAAAACATATTTCATACTAGTTTACATCACGATTCTCTCGAGTACATTCAACATTATCACAGCATCCCAAATTTTGCGTATTTCTTACTTATAGCTCACCCTTATTCTGACTATAAGACCCAGTTCACACTACAAACAATATATTGATGGAATAAAACACCACATATACAGTATTATTTACAAATAACATGGCCTCCATAGGTGACGCGTATGTTAAGTTACAAATTAAACTACATTTCGAAATTTCGATAACGTGAATTTCTACTTTGTTCTATTTTACACATCATTTATAAAGTACACTGTCTATTTTTGGTTTAAAACAGGAACAAACGATCTACAAATATATTCGACAGTGTTACATGTAAAAAGTTGTTTGCATACGTGCACATATTGATAGACTTATATTACTATTTTATCGGTTCTAAGTCAAATAAATCTACATACTTAAAGTATGAGATACACGTGGATACCAAATGTGTTTGGTAAATTTGAATCATACGGTGCGTTGTCAATTTGGCAACAAAAAGAGTTAAAAAATAAAATAACACGTGGCTAGAATTCTTACACGCATTCATGTTTTTATAGTAAAAGCATTTGGCAAGTATGTACAACAATAAACACATAGCAAGTACGTAGTGACCAATTACGCAGTGTTTTATTTACGCTCCGCGTGGATCTCTACACAATGAAAGTGAAATCGGGATAAAAATAAGACTTGCACATTGAAACTTTTACGTAAGTATACACATAGATATAACAGATGGTTTTAAATACTATATTATCGCATGTCTGAGATCATAAAAGTGTACAATTGTACGTTCTAGTGCAAGTGTTAAAGGGATCGAATGGTTAAAAAAAGCTACTAGTCCAGTCATTTAAGCTTAAATTAGGTAAGAATCTCGGAATTAGAGATACCCAGCTGTAAGTCTGTAAATACTTGTATATTGACACCCTAAAAGTTGTCTCAAAACCTACATATGGTAGGGTGTAAGCAACTATTAAATTTTAAGGTCAAAGGTCACAAAAATCGGTTTTTTGCGCTTTTTTTGGAAATATCTCATTTCCTATGGGTTTTTTGCTATTTTTATTTATTATCAATATTATAGAATACTAAATTCTCTACAAATTTTGTTTAAAAATTTTTTTTATATGGTGAACCGTTTTCGAGATAGAGGGCGGAGAGCGCGCGGTCACTGCATCACTTCAGGTCAACTTAAGCGGTTTAGGTTTTTCATACAAAAGGATTTTCCCGCTAATTATCGTGGGAATTTCGGTAATTACTTGTTGTAAATAAGCTTTAAGTTTACTAAGGTACCTACATGCCAAATTTCAAGCGTCTAATCTATAAGGAACATACAGACCGACAGACAGACAGACAAAAATTTTACTGATTGCATTTTTGGCATCAGTATCGATCACTAATCACCCCCTAATAGTTATTTTGAAAATATATTTCATGTATAGAATTCTGTCCGTCTGTATGTTCCTTATAGAAACAAAAACTACTCGACGGATTTTAACGAAACTTGGTTCAATTATTCTTCATACACCTGGGCAGGTTATAGTATACTTAGGAATTCCCACGGGAATCCCACGTGTCAATATACACGTATTTACAGACTTACAGCTGGGTATCTCGAATTCCGAGGTGAACTTACTATAATGACTGGACTATACAGCGTGTTGTTTCATCGAGTGTCATTAAACATGAATATATAAAAAAAATAGCAATAAATTAAAAAAAATACATATTTTACGTGACGAAACCAGTGGGGCTAGTTTCTAATCCTGTTTCCGTATTTTTTCAAATCTATTTGTCGCTGTCGCTCATGCCGGCGAGACGCTTTGAGAGAAAGAGATGGATAGATCAAACAATACGAGAACAGCATTAGAAGTATTGCTAACTCAGAAAAAGTATTCGTTTATTCGCGCACATTTTGGCTCACAAGTTAAGAATATAGTCCAGTCAATAAAGCATTATAGATGGAAAACTGTAGAACACAATTTCTGACTTCAGGACTTTATTTAGACTAGTTAGGAGGTGAACATAGCAAAAGTCCCCGCCCTTAGCCCTTGAGCCGGCGGGGAGAGGGGGGTTTAAAGGTGCCACTTTTCGGTTTTTCGCTTAATCCTCGGAAACTATGCGACCTAGTGACATGACTACTTTGAACCAAAAAAAGCATATTCAATTTGCTACAGGTGAGATAAACAAGTGTTTCTATAAATTGTATAGTTTTCGCGGCATCTGCTCTAGAAGGTCTGTAATATTGGAAATTTTATTTTTGTCTTACATGTTCCCATCAGGAGAAAATCGACTAAATCAACATTGAGCAATCATTCTAGACATGCGGGAGCATGTTAAGCCTAGTTCCAGCGAGGGGACTACACCGTGCGTATATTTAGACGAATCACTTTGAGCCACTTTTGACTCCTCATCACTCAAAAACTACTGTGCATTAACACTTCAAATTTGGCTCATGTGTTGAGACTTGCAAGATATACATCAGTTTCAAATTTCATAAATATGCCTCAAACGGTTCTTTAGATATTGACGTCCAAAAATCTACATGTCTGACCTATAGACCAAATTCTAACCACTTCCAGATGACCTCGAAGGTTCAAATTTGGCATCCAGAAAGGTAGTTATGTAAATACAAAGGAACAAATAAAAAACCAGTAAATTTTAACATTTCACATGTGATAGATAGATAGTAGTGCTCTAAATATCGATTTTTGAACGTCAATACCTAAATAACCGTTTGAGGTATATTTATGAAATTTGAAGCTGATGTATATCTTGCAAGTCTCAATACATGAGCCAAATTTGAAGTGTTAATGCACAGTAGTTTTTGAATGATGAGGAGTCAAAAGTGGCTCTAATTGGTTCGTCTAAATATACGCACGGTGCAGTCCCCTCCCTGGAACTGGGCTTAACATGCTCCCGCATGTCTATAGTGTTTGCTCAATGTTGATTTAGTCGATTTTCTCCTGAAAGGAACATGTAAGACAACATTAAAATTTCCAATTTTACAGACCTTCTAGAGCAGATGCCGTAAAAACTATACAAGATATAGAAAAACTTGACGGTCTCACCTATAGCAAATTGAATAAGCTTTTTTTGGTTCATAGTAGTCATGTCACTAGGACGCATAGTTTCCGAGGATTAAGCGAAAAACCGAAAAGTGATACCTTTAAACCCCCCTCTCCCCGCCGGCTCAAGGGCTAAGGGCGGGGACTTTTGCTATGTTCACCACCTAACTAGGCTAAATAAAGTCCCGAGGTCAGAAATTGTGTTCCACGGATTTCTCTCTACACCGTCGTTAAGGCATTCATTGACTGGACTAATAATATTAGTAGGTAACATTCAATAAGTAATAGGACTAAAAAGGTATTATAAATATGGACGAAATTAGGTACTCATAAAAACTCATGCGTTGTGGTGTTACCGACATATCAACCTACTTTCTATTGGTTTTCAACTTTCTACAAAAGGCATTTTCAAAATCAATAATTATGCTATTTCAGACTTTTAAGTAGTATACTACCAGACCAAAAATTGTGACTCAATAGTATTATGTAGTGAGTTGACGTACTGACCTTTATCGCTATACAAATGTAGATGAGCAACTCATGTCTTTTATGAATAATATTACTTTACTTAATTATATTTTTAACCATTCCCAAACGATGAACCATGCACGCTGTAAATCAAAAAGTAAAACAGACAGTCTAAAGAAAACGGTAAATACATCACTGATACAAGCAGGCGGGCGGCGTGTTATCATCGCTTGCGGCCGCGCATGAATTGAAGAGCCTTCTGCATGAGCGGAGCCTTCTTGGGCTTGAAGGAGGAGCCTGTAGTCACCGTGGGCGTGGGCCTGGTGTTGCCTCGGAGCACGTTGGGCGCCGCGGCCAGTGAGGCCACACGCGCCGCTGGACTGGCTGACGCCGCGTGGGCTGTGCCGTGCAGTGCCTGCGAGTCGAAGAAAATTAAATATCCGCTACAGTTTAGACAATAAAATTAGTTTATTCCCGATGTCCTGTGCCCCGCTTGCGCTAAATATTTTTACTAGACGACGACAAACGCGACTAGACGACGAACGAAAATCACAAATTCGTATCGCGGTGTCGCTTTGACAGCTAGTTCAAACGAAAACAAAACGCAACTGCTTCTTTGTGTAAAACTGAAAGCTGAAAGAAAACTACTTTTTCTCAAACGCCTTCACGAATATTTGCTGTGTTTTAGTGAAAAAATAAGGTTTTCGGACTTATACCATTAAAAATGATTAAATCCGTTGTTTTGTCTTTGTTTGCGCGTGAACTTTACCGCTATACCGAATTTGCACCTCAGCTGGAATGAAATTGCGCTTTTGGAGAAGAAGCGCCAATAAATTTGAGACGTTAAAAATTAGCGCAATCGAGGCCTTGTTTGTTGCATTGCAGAAGCTTTTTAAATTGCCTGATATGTTCCACAATGAGGAAAACGTGTTATCAGATATAGTTTTTTCTACCTTTATTTTTAGTCATTATTATTTCAAAATGAGCTTTCCCTCTGATATCATGCGGTAAGTATAGTAAGTGATATCGTATGGGGGGTACCTACCTAGTGATTATGTGGATGCCTCGGAAAGAGAATCCATGTTTCCCTTTTTTTTCTGCGACGACGTTTCTGAACGTGATAATGAATATTATGTTTTAACATAATGTTACTTTGCTAATCATTTGGGAAGGTAAGATAATCTCTCGGGTTAATAAACGATCATGCAATTTGTAGCAGTGTTGCTAATCTCTAAGGAAAGGTTAAAAAGCTCTTTTTTCTCCTTTTTCAGTGTTTAGGTTAGGTAAACGATGAAAATTGATTTAGTCGGACTCAAATTGTCGGCCGTTTGGTGTAATGATTCGGAACGGACTACTATGCCGAGAGGTCTCGGGTTCGATTCCCGGCCGGGCAGAAATTGAAATGATGAATTTTAATTTCTGTGATGGGTCTGGGTGTTACTATATATTACTATACAATGTGTTAGGTAAATGGGTATATGAGCCGACACCAGCCCATGTTAACATGGGCATATAAATGGTATGGTGAAGTCAGAATTTTAATTTTTTTAATTTTCATACAAAATAAAATTTATAAAATCCGATTTGTATGAAAATTAAAATAATTAAAATGAAGATATCAAANATATAAATGGTATGGTGAAGTCAGAATTTTAATTTTTTTAATTTTCATACAAAATAAAATTTATAAAATCCGATTTGTATGAAAATTAAAATAATTAAAATGAAGATATCAAATTTCTGACTTCACCATACCATTTATATGCCCATGTTAACATGGGCTAGTGTCGGCTCATATACCCATTTACCTAACACCCTGTATATGTGTGTCGAATATTCCGCCAAACAACCTGTATAATATGTATGTATTTACAAAAAATTAAGTATGTACCCATAGTACAAGCTTTGCTTGGTTTGGTACTAGAAGCGTAGTGTAAAAGGATATTTATTTATATATTTATTTAAATTGCACTTTTACCAAAGTTTTCTATGTCCAAGGATATTTATTTATTTATACATATAAATTGCACTTTTACTAAAGTATTTTATTAAAATATAGTTTGCATCTTATTATTTAGCTATTTCTAGATTATTATTTTTTTGTAAAATTGAGAATTTGAGACATTAATCAAAAAATTCACGTAAATCTTTATATTATTGTTCTGGTGCTCTAAGGGCTATATTTCACTGGGACACCATGGCGGCGCAACCAGTCGCCGGCTACCAACAAAATGTATACAGCTCTATAGAGAGTTACTCACCTGGTGTCCGTTTGGTTGCGCAAAGCTGTATACATTTTGTTGGTAGCCGGCGACTGGTTGCGCCGGCATGGTGTCCCGGTGAAATATAGCCCTAAAACTGTTGGTCTTTAAAAAATAAAGTGAATAAAAAAAATACAAACTTTTCTGTGCTTAAATAAGATTAAAAATTCATAGAAGACAGATGAGAAGATAGAAAAATCGACAAAACAATCAAGAACTTACTTGTTTTCTAGCAATGTTTCTCGGCGGTTTGACGACGCTGTCTACGTAAGCCATTTTGGTCTGCTTGATGGGCGCTTTCTTGGCCTCTTGCGCTATCCTGATATTGGCCGTAAGGGATTTCAGCCTGTGTTCTTGTTCTTCTTGACATCTCTGTAAAAGTAATTACAATCGCAATTTATTACACCGATCTTGTCGCGACAAGGAAAAATTTCCGTGCTTTTAAGCGATTTTGTGAAAAATATTATTGGCAGGTAGTTGCTAATTGCTCATAAGATAGGCCCCCTTAATTTAATTTATTGTCCGTGGTGCATAATCTTTTTCTTAAAGGTTTTTAAACCTTTGTTTGTCACCTGTCATCCGCTTTGCAATGGACGGAAGTCGCACCTTACTTTCGAACTCCTCCTATGTTCTTCTGATTAATTTCGTTGCGGGTCCAATTACAGTTTAACTNCCTTAATTTCGAACTCCTCCTATGTTCTTCTGATTAATTTCGTTGCGGGTCCAATGACAGTTTAACTTTCCCCCGGGACAAACTTGACCTTCATTGGTTGGGTTTTTGTGGCGGTCAAGCTGTAGATCCTGGCTACACAGGAGTTGCAGTGGTGGGAACGAGAGGTGGGAATAGTCCCGTTATATTGTATCTTGCCATTAATCTATAGGCAATAAGCGTGTTGTCAGGCCATTTTGGACTAAAAGATTATGTGATCTAAGTAATAATAAAAAATATTCCCTGTTATAAAACCAGCAAAATCGAAAGGACGAAGTCCTGAAAAGTTAATGTAATTTTTTATAAAAGTTTGGCTCAAAAATATCTATGAGCCACTCTTTACAAAAAAGTATGTATACCTATTTATATTAATTTTGAAATCAGTTTTGCCCAATTGGAAAATTCACACTGTATTTACACCGCACTACAAGAAGGTTGGTTATAAAGATTATATCTCAACGCAATCAGTTCAGTGACGTTAATCAATTTTAATACGACTAATAAATCTATTAATATGTTCAGCCTGCGACAAGTGTCTTTTATCAACAAAGATTGATCGATTGCATCACTACATACCACGAGGAGTAATGCGATGTTTAATTGTTTAGTAACAAAAACAACAGTCGATATTTTCACTTTCATAAAAATCTGATCGTGCCATTATCGGTGTATTGGTCTTAGCTATCAATAATAATAGCTTATCAGTATACAGCCTTATTTTAACATAAAAAAAAAACAAAACACGAATGCACGCATAGTATTGTAATATCACATACCATATACATTTCCCGCCACGTCTCCATCTCCTGCCGCTGTTTGTTCCTGAAGTTCTTCCCGCAGAACTTCTGCCAGAGGTGATCCGTATCCTCCATGAGATAAGGGTTATAATGCTCCAGCACGAACAACTGCTGCGGCGTGGCGCGGTCGATGACCGGCTTCAGTATGTCGTACGGCACTCCGCCGGTGTACTCTAGGGCTGAAGCAAAAATATACTGTCTAATACAAACCTAGATTCATTATTCACTTATTGGGTTATGGTGGTCAAGCTGTAAATCCTGGCTACAAAGGATTTGTAGCAATGAGAACGACAAGTAGGAATAGTCTCTAGGACAGGGGTGGCCAACTTGATTAGACATAAGATCTACTTTAACGAAACCCTGCGCGATCTATCACTTACATACTTCTTGAAATTTTAAATGAAACAGCAGTTTAGTACACAATCATGTAGTATTTTTTGCCTTGCCACGATCGACTGGACTAATATTCGCGATCGACTGGTTGGCCACCCCTGCTTTAGGAATATCTTAACTAGATGAACAGAGGTACGATTCAGGACAAAAATTCTAGCTCTTGATTGTGGAAAGTCACCATAAGTTTTCTACGGAATACAACATGGAACGACCATTTCGTAATTCTGAAGGCAATTCGGATAAATTTCGGGAGGTGCCTGGATACGGGCGGCGCAGGACCGATCTTTGTGGAAATCCTTGGGGGAGGCCTTTGTTTAGTGGACATCATTCGGCTGAAACAACGATCGGACAAATTAAGTGCCCAAAAATTTGTTACGACAGCAGAGTATACCAGGCTTGAGCATTCAATACTTAGTTTAACAAGTGAAAAGAATCATTGGATACAAACTTAGAAATTAGGTATTTTAAAAAACTCACCATCTATATGTTCTTGAAGAACTTGTACACACATTTCGTACAAAGTCGGTATTTTTCCTATCACTTTGTTACCAGAGTACACTTTGGTTCTGAAAAAAGAAAAGAAAATGCATTATAATCTAGGCCCTAGGGTTAAGCAATAGCCAAGTCATTACTCATGGTTTATGTATGAGCTGCTTGACCTGGTTAAAAATTAGTTAGCATAGTTGGAATGGTCCGACGACTTCATAAAGGTAGCAGAAAGGCGCTGGATGCAGGCCGCTACCGGCCATTGTGGTAATCATTGGACGAGACCTATGTTCAGCAGTGGACGTCCTGTGGCTGAATGAAATGATGATGATGATGATGAACCATAGTTGGGTGATATCTTAATAGCGAACAGCGGCGCTAGTTTCACTGTGGAATTATCCTGTTTGTCAATACAATCATACCTTTGGTTCTTAGAAGACATGGTCATGCTCATCGCGTCTTCATCTGTGAAGTGTGGCAGCAACTTGGGCGGTGATATCTCGATGGCTAGTTTTGCTGTGGAATGCTCCTGTTTGTCAATAGAATCATACCTTTGGTTCTTAGAAGACGTCATGGTCATGCTCATCGCGTCTTCATCTGTGAAGTGTGACAGCAACTTGAGCGGTGATATCTCGGGCAGCGCTAATATCTCGATGGCTAGTTTCGCTGTGGAATGCTCCCGTTTGTCAATAGAATCATACCTTTGGTTCTTAGAAGACAAGGTCATGCTCATCGCGTCTTCATCTGTGAAGTGTGGCAGCAGCTTGGGCGGTGATATCTCGATGGCTAGTTTCGCTGTGGAATGCTCCCGTTTGTCAATAGAATCATACCTTTGGTTCTTAGAAGACATGGTCATGCTCATCGCGTCTTCATCTGTGAAGTGTGGCAGCAGCTTGGGCGGCGGCCGCGGCTTGTAGTTGGGCGATATCTCGGGCAGCGCCGAAATCTCAATCGCGGGCAGCGGCGCTAGCTTTGCGGTGGGCGCTAATAGAGACGCTGGGCTTAGCTGGTGACAACACAGTAAAAATTAATCTCTACCTAACCAAAGTACGTGTGTCGTAGATTATTAACTAGCGACCCGCCCCTGCTTCGCACAGGTACAATGTATTATGCTTAAAAACCTTCTTCTTGAGTCACTCTATCTATTAAAAAATAACCACATCAAAATCCGTTGCGTAGTTTTAAAGATTTAAGCATACATAGGAACAGAAAGCGGGAAGCCACTTTGTTTAATATTTTGTATTGATTGATACTCGAGATTCGGGGTAAAAAGACGAAATATAATTTACAATTATTTGCAAAATCGAGACAAGAAATGGTGTGTTACGTTTACGTGGACAATGGAGGGTCGAGCGAGAGTAAAAACAAAATAATGTCGATATTTAACGATGAAAAAAGAATGCAGTTTTTCTTAGTGGCCAGCGTCGCACGGCCAAGGAGGTGGCCGTGTGCGGCCGCAACAGATACTCTTATCTTCTTCTTCTTTTTTGATGATGTTGGCAATACACGTCGAGGTCGACTTGATTTGTGCCATTTTCAAGTATTTATGTGATACGAGTTACAAAATGAGATCAAGTAATGTATAATGAAAGTTGTGGTGCTTTACTGAGACCTCCTATGGACAACTTGACAGAACCAGAAGAATCACGATGCACTGTTCTGCTTCACTCGCCCACACTCATGCACGTTCACGAACACTTAATGGTTAATAATCCACTATAATTACACATTAATAGACGCCCAAACACTAATTTGAGGAAACAAAACAAAACCGCTAACATGAAGCCGCCAAGAAGTCGATACTCTTATCATCTATCATAGTTGAGCCAACTACCGTTATAAGGAGCGGTTTCATTAGATGTGTGTGTTGTTAACCAATTTATTATAAAAAAACATTTCAGTGCTCAAATCGGATACCACTTAAAAATAACTTTTAAAGGACTTACATCATTGTGATTAGAGTTGGACGTCTCTTTTACAGGTGCAGTTTTCTTTTTGGGTTTAGCAGGACTTATCATACCTAGAGCTTCAGCAAAACTAGCACCTGAAATGTTCAATAATTTTTTAGTAAATCAATAAATAAAATAAAATATAAATCAATATGAAAATAAAAAAAAACGACTAAATGGTTTTCTGTAGTATGTAATTGGAAGAATCAGGAAAATAGTAGATTCAGGACTGCACTATAAGATTCTTACCTGAACCGCAGTCGATGCCATCATCACTGTCTGCACTACTATTTACTTGATTTGTTTTCTTTGGTACTTCGTCTTTCGACTTACTGCTGCTGCTGCTGGATTTGCTTTTGTGTGATGACGAGGAACTTGATTTACTCTTAGATTTACTTTCACTACTTCCCTCATCACGCTTATCAGCCTTGTGTTTACTATCACTGTGTTTAGATTTACTCTCACTCAATGACGAGTGTTTTTTCTCGCTCTTATGACTATCTTTCATAGAACTATCAGTTTTATCCTTTGAACTACTACTGCTTTCTTTTGACTTCTCTTTACTAGAGGAACTGTGTTTCTCTTTTGAACTACTACCATGTTTTGACTTATGTTTTTCATTCGAGATTTCTTTCTCTGACGAACTTTTGTGCTTGTCTTTTTCTGATTTTTGTGAATGACTGGAACTGGAACTTTTATGTTTGTCAGATTTACTAGAGTGATGTTGTTTTTCCACATTATTGTCTGGCTTAGAAGATTTATGCTTGTCAGAATCACTTTTATGTTTTAATGATGATGAAGCTGAAGAAGTTGGTTTGGGATCATCTTTTTGTTTTCTATCTTTTTCAGACGAATTTTTGTCTGATTTGGAACTTTTCTCGCTTTTATCATTTTCCTTCGAACTTTTGTGCTTCTGAGAACTACTATGAGATTTTTCTTTTGATGAATGTCTATCGGATGAATGTTTATCTGTGTTTTCTGTATTGTGATGTTTCTTAGAATGTTTTTCAGACTCATGTGATTTTTTTGAACTTGTAGATTCTTTGTTACTCGAAGAGTCTTTTGGACTTCTGTGTGTTGATTGTTTGGAAGATGATGAGGACTTATGATTGTGGGTGGTAACTTGTTTCGATTCGTTCTTACTAGGCTTTTCTTCTTCCGAAGATTCAGACATTTCAGAGTCACTATTGTCACTCTCTGAATCATTGCTATCATCAGAGTCATCATCACTTTCAGACTGCTCTTTTTTTACTCGGGAATCGTCACGAGTTTCCGAGCGTTCTTTTTTTACTTGGTCTGCTGATTTCTTTTTAATGTCATCATGACTCCCATAACTAGAACTCTTCGTCTTTTTTCTGTCAGGTTCTTCATCCTGCAATATTGGAATACACAAAATATAAGTATTGCATGTCTACTTATTACTGAATGGAAAGTTTTAATGATAGGATAATATTAGCACAGTTTAGTCATTTTAAGACCACATTACTTGATTTGTAACATTTTGAATGCACTGTAGTAGAACATATTAAATGCGTAGAATTAGGATTACTGCAATATTTACTCACTGATATGTACTTACTAGAAATACTTTGTTTATAAAAATCCTACTAATATTATAAATGCGAAAGTTTGGATGTCTGGATGTTTGTTACTCTTTCACGCAAAAACTACTGTACGGATTTTGATGAAACTTTGCAGTTTATAACCCAGAATAAAATATAGGCTAAAATTTATGACGAACTGTGAAAAACGAAATTTCACGCGGGTGAAGCCGCGGGCAAAAGCTTATCAAATAAGGTATTGACACAATCAATTTATGCATCCATTATTATTTATCATGAAGACTTACCTCACTACTGTTATATTTTCTCTTGATCTTATTTCCACTGTAGTTTCCATTCATCAGTTTTGGTTCCGTTTTTACGATTGGGCTAGATTTTTCATAGCGGTCGCTCCTTCCATTCTCATGTCCGTTACAACTGGCGTCTGTAGAAAATAAACAAAATAAATATTATATTGAGTAATTAAATATAATCATTTAATATGTGAGCAGGCAGGGAGCTGAAGAGATGTATGGACAACCTCGGAATATCATCATTATCTACTGGTGAGCCTACCTACTGGCCATCAGATCCGAATAAGATTCCTGATCTGTTGGACTTTTTCATCATAAAGGGCTTTTCCGACAACTATCTAGACATTGAAAGCTGCTGGGACACAACCTCTGATCACTCGCCTATAATATGCACCCTGAGCAGAACAATAATATACAGAGAAACACAGACAAGACTTTATAACCACAGAACCGATTGGGTGCTATTTGCCGATTATTTGGAGGCGGAAACAGAATTGAAAATAAAATTAAAAACTGAAGCTGACATAGATGATGCAACATTCTATATAACCAACCTAATACAGGAAGTTGCATGGCGATGTACACCACAATTGAAAACCATAAGTAAAACTACTAACATACCTCTGCAAATACGAGAAAAACTTGTGGAGAAAAGAAGACTTAGAAGAGTCTGGCAGCTGAGCAGACATTCGTATGATAGAAGACTCTATGAAAAAGCAGCTAAAGAACTGAGGGAAATGATAACAGAGAATGAGAACTATACATTTGAACAGAAACTGTCATCTTTATCTGCTAAAAGGTGTGATGATTACTCTTTATGGAAATTCACAAAGCAGTTCAAGAGACCACAACAATCAGTACCACCATTGAGAGCTCAGTCGGGAGCTTGGGCCAAAACTCCTAAAGAGAAAGCCGAGATCTTTGCTCAACATTTAAGTCAAGTGTTTGTACCAAACTCTTCAACAAGGAGTGATTTCGAAAAGGAGGTAAATGAATATCTCGAGAGCGATCAGCAGCTATCACCACCTATAAAACTTATAACACCAAGAGAACTACAAAGAGCAATAAGAATGTTGAGCAACAAAAAGGCTCCAGGATTTGACTTAATCACTGGTGAAATCCTTAAACATCTACCCAGAAAACCAGTCGTCTTCCTGACTATGCTGTTCAATGCCATAATGAGAATACAATACTTTCCTAGATTGTGGGGCGTCTCTCAAATATGCATGTTGCTGAAACCTGGAAAGGTGCCCACAGATCCGAGCTCATATAGGCCAATTAGTCTTTTGCCAGTACTATCAAAGTTATTTGAGAAAATATTCTTGCAAAGACTTAAACCAATATTAGAAGAAGAAGCCATAATACCAGATCACCAATTTGGGTTCAGGGAGCGACATAGCACAGTGGAACAAGTACATCGTATAGTGAACAAGATAAGACAATCACTGGAGCAGAAAGAATACTGTGCTGCGGTGTTCCTGGACATCCAGCAGGCATTCGATAGGGTTTGGCACAAAGGTCTTTTGTATAAGCTAAAAAGTTTTCTACCTAATTCATATTATATGGTGCTTAAGTCCTACCTACAAGACAGAAAGTTCCAAGTTAAATTTGGCGAAGAAGTATCCGTTCTGTATGATATTGGGGCGTCTGTGCCACAGGGATCTGTGCTCGGTCCTGTGCTATATTCTATATACACAGCGGACCTACCATGCAATACAGATGTAGTAACAGCGACATATGCAGATGACACCGCATGTCTTGCAAGTCATAAAGATCCGGCTTTGGCATCAGAAAAACTACAAAATCACCTGTATGAAATTGACGAATGGCTGGAAAAGTGGAGAATAAAGCCAAATGTTACTAAATCTCTACAAATAACGTTCACACTCCGCAAAGGAGACTGCCCAGCTGTAACGTTACGGGGGCAACAACTGCCTACAGAAAATTGTGTAAGATACCTGGGACTCCATCTAGACCGGAGGTTAACCTGGGCAACCCATATAAAAACAAAGAGAAAAGAAGCAGATTTACAATTTAAGAAGTTCTACTGGCTGATTGGGAGACAATCATCCCTCAGTTTAAACAACAAAATGCTGGTCTATAAATGCATAATAAAGCCTATATGGACTTATGGGATTCAACTCTGGGGATCTGCCAGTAATTCCAACCTTGAAATCCTCCAAAGGTTTCAGAATAAAACACTGAGGGCAATCTCAAATTCACCATGGTTCGCTAGAAATGTAGAGATACACGAGTACTTGGAGATGCCGACAGTCAGGGAGGAGGTGAGCAAATACTGTACCAAATATAAGGAAAGGCTAAAACATCACACAAACCAACTTGCTAGAGAAATTGTGGAACAAACCCACAAGACCACCACAAGACTGAAAAGATAACAAATATTACAGTTGGACCAAAGATGCTAGTGGCTTGGACTGAATATTGGAAGGCTGGACTAGATTGCTACGTGAATTAGTAAAAACCGAGGGAGAGAATTTACTGGAATACCCCTCCTCATGAACACAAACAAAAAAGCAAGACAAAACATCTGATTATGACCTAAGTCGATTGCAGATATAAAAAGGGGAAAAAAAAAAAAAAAAAAAAAAAAAATTTAATATGTTATTTATTACCCTGAGAAATATCCAGGAAAAAATCCTTTGAATGTTATCCGTACAATGAGATGTATAACAATTTAATATTATGAACATAATTTTGGCAGTAAGTACCTATTATTGTAATTGGTATTTTTATATGAAAAAGCTTAAAATACTAATGTATCTGAATACATAAAAAAAACTACATTTTTGAAATATTTCATTGATATATTAATTTATAAAAATAAGTTCAGCTTTTCGCATAATATAGTAAATAAGTCTTATTTGTATTGTGATTATGTAAATATAATATTAGTTATTTATAAAAATAACATCAGCTATTTCTAAACCCACCAACAAATTACTAATCTAATAAGTATGTACTTTACAACAAAGCCTTACCTACTTGTTTTAATTTAGACACAAAATATTCCTGCATAAGAAATCTTGGTAAAAAAAGAAAGAAAAGATGGACATTTGTTCCTCTCCAAATTTACGTATTTGATTTGTCTGTCCTAAATAAAGGCATTGCAATGAACCGTTTCGCACATTCTCAGATATTGCTATCAGAATGCCACAATACCACATCTTTAGCCTTGGCAGCAATTTCATAATACGCAGATAGATAAGTTGTTGGGCAAAAGGCTAAACAAAAATTTGCATATTTTGACTATTATGTTACAAATTGAAATACCATAAGATATTTCAAATTGTAACTGTCCAATGGAAAAATTTAATAAGAAATGTAATAATCAAAATATTAGATACCTTACTAAAAATATCTTGTGAAAATATTATGTGAAATGTGATAAAACATAAAAATACATGCTTAATATTCAACCCTATCCCTTATTGCAATCTAATTAGATTTTTTTATTGTACATTAAAAAATATTGCAATCCATTTAACACCAATGAGGCTAACGTTTTGTCTCACTGTAGTTGTTGTGATCTTCTTCGTCACTTTCTTCCGCTGCCACCATAAGTTTCCATTTGTTGACGAGTGACCGAGCTGCGCTGCCTACATCACCGGGCTCCTTCCGCAGAGCGTTCACAGTTCTCCCAACTCCTGTTTCTTGCAGGTGTTGGACGGTCACGTCTAGGTTGAATAATTTGTCTATGCATTTCAAAATCTGGAATAAAAGAATAAATTGATTTGATTTGTGAATATATTTTTCACTGTTTTGTTTGTGGAATAGAAATAGGTAATTGATTTTTAAATAAATACCTAAATATAAATCTGTTTTAATCTGTGTACCCAAAAATATAAGTATCTGCAGTCTCCTCACTTCATCTCCAATAAATGATGATGACAGTGATGAAATACTATTATTAATACAGCAAAAATATCTTGTCAGTTAGTTTTTACTGTGAGAATTCTAGTTAGATACCTACCTATATTGTTTGTTGTTCTTATTTAGATTTATTTTAAACTAGCAATTACTGGAATAATAATTTACATAACCTAATGTGCTAAAAACTGATAAAAATAAGCTCAAATAGGTATTCATAGTAGGCACCTACATAGTTTTAAAAAACAGGTACTTTCAAAGGTTACTTTGTTACCACAGCAGTATTTTCATTTGCATACTTATGTTAGTGTTGTTCTTTTATCACAATCCGACAGCTGTAATCTCGAGCACAATACCCGATTTAAATACGTGTTAGGTAAAATCCGTACTACTTCAGGGAGCTTTTTCAGAATGTACTTGCTTACATATGTTTGAATTTAGATATTCTTCACCCCTACCTATCTTTTAGAAAATTGCTCAATACGTTCAAAAGTTAATAGGGAGAACCTAAACTATCCATTATAAAAATCTGGTTGAAAACCCCATGGAAGTTACGAGGAAAACAGCAATCCAGTGTGGTATTCTCCGACATACCTTTTGCTCGTCGTTGTCATATTTTAAAGATTTTTCTATTGAATGTTGATAATGTCTCACTAAATCCAGCACAGTCGCCATGCTAAACACAATATGCACAATGCAACAGTTTTTGTAGTTTTTTTCACTGAAGAATGAGTGCCAGCTGGTAAACGGGCACCATCTTTGTCACACACATGTCAATGACGTCCAAATTTGCGCTCAAACGTCATTTCGTTCGGAAATTGTCAAATAAAATAGACCAAAGACAATCATAATGGTAACTTACAAGCGTTAACCCTAATACCGTTAAATTATTAACATGATAATACCGTTACAAAGGATACAGGGTGTAAACAAAATTAAGTACAAATTGAGATGATTGTGTGAATTTGTGTGTAAGGGCATTATGATTCCTACATTTTTTAAATTGATCCTTACGAAGATGAATATTGACGTAAAGATCTGAGCCACTTGAATTGGAAGATACATTTTTGTATGGAGGTGTATAATTTGTGATATGAATTATTTACTTACGATGCACAATTACTATAATGAATTAACCAGTTTTACCAATGACTGATTGGATACTGAACACTAGGTACCTAGTAAAAGAGTCAAATCAATGACCAGTAGACTCATTCTTAGGTGCCTCAAACCTGGTAGGAATACCAAAGTGATTAAGGAATGTCTTGTTTCATGCTTGTTGAGCACGACATCTCAGCTGTTGGCTTACGTACCTAATAAGTAGTATTAAAGCTAGAATCTCCGGGCATGGTTAGATTGGAAACTTCCTTGCATGGTTAACCAGTCGTGGTCGAATTAGATGGGTCGGCTTCGATTATAATTGACGCCTTGTTGTTACAAAAGCATGAAATTACCGGGATGTAGAGCTGCTGCGGTTCCACTAGTAGTACCTAGTGTGTATCATGAGTTATAGTCACAGATATGGATTAGAGTAGATACAGCAAGTTGATCGTCAAAGCGTGCCATTCCGATATGTCCAAATGGACATAGGTACATGGTCGAGTGATGTTCATGTAATCCGATTACAACATTCGGTTACGATGATTTTACGAGGACAGTAGTACGAACATGGTAGAAAGAAGAAATTATTTACGGATTGAGAATTGTAATTAACAGCACAAGTAACAAATAATTAATTAGAATAAAGTAGCAGTGGAAGAAGTATAAAGTAGCATTGTTTTTAATACATATCCTGCGATGTACTCTAAGAGTTAAAACCATGGTCCGTGTATGTGGTGCACTCATACCGATCACAAGGAACCGTACTTACTTTTATAACAATAAGACACACACTAATCCATGTATTCATGCACTTGACCAATGTTTGTCTTGAAACGCTGGTAGGGTAAAAAAAATAACGAGATTTGACGATTTGTAAGAATTAATTTATTTATAGCCTGACCAGGAACATAAAAACCCTGGCATAGAGGCGTGTCAATTGCATTTGATAATGCAACACTGAGTACAGTCGTACCTGTGTTAAATTAATAGGCTAACTTTATGTATCAGGATTCAGGATTACGGGCTAATTTGATATTTTCATAATTAACGAAAAAATTCTATTCTATTTATAGGTAACCTGGTTTAAATAAATTAAATGAAACCATCAATCGAGCTAGTAGGATTTATTTTATTATTCATCAATAATAAAATTCAGAACTTGAATATTCAACTGCAATGTCTGCTAAGAACGCTTCAAACTCGGTACTTCTTTCCCAATTCCATAAAATTCAACACTTAAAAAGTGACAAAAATCTTTAAAATAGGTAGTTGAAACAAACCACAGCTAATTTTCATAGTTGACTGTACTATACGATAAACATGTCAGTCAATTTGACAATCTTTGTCGGAAACATTATTCAATGAAAATATTGTCCGAACCCTTAGTATTTCTCTTCGACAAATACTTTAACACATTGTGAACCACTTTTCTTTCACTACTATAAAAAGATTTTAGCAATTTAATTCACAAAATCAATTGCGCACATTTAAAATAAAGTTTGTTTACACTATGACAGCAATAGACTGACATGCAAGGTGACATTATAATGAAGTTTTCAGTGTGCCTAGACAAAACGCACTTTTTGATCGAATCGAAAATCGAATCCGTCAAATCTCCATACAAAAAAGGGGTTTTTCGACCACTTTGCGACTGGTTTGCGATTATAATTTGCACTTTGTCTAGACCCACAGTTATAGTTCCAAAATACTGAACTGTCCTATCGATGACATTGACAGTGGGGCGCCACCGTCAATACCGAATCGCTGGTTCCGATTTTTGCCATGTTGGAAACCATATAGTTGAACGATGGTAGCGCCCCCCTGTCATTGAGTTTGGTGGGACAGTTCAGCGTGGGTCATCTATACTGTTGCCACTAAAAGAAATTAGTACCATTAGTTTTCCGCAACATGGCGAGGGTTTTTATGTTCCTGGTCAGGCTATAAAAAGGTTAATAAAGATGTTTTTGGTTTTGTATTATTTAAGAAATTATCAGTTTTATCGGAATTCATTAATTGTCGAATCGAGTCACACGATATCTTTCGATGACTTTGCGAATGCAGTACGATGATACGATTATTTTTACGTTGCGGCAATCACTAAAATTCGCTAAAATGACACTAATGACGTTTAAAAAGTGGCACGCTCGGCTTCATACAAATTTTTTCACATGCTGCATCTATCTATATCTGTGGTTATAGTCATTGCCCTGCACATAGGGTTGCCAGGTCCAAAAACACAAAAGCCGGACTCTGTGCTTCATTTGACCAAGGCAATATTTGGCCGGACAAGTCCCTAAAAAGCCAAACATGTCCGGCTAAAGCCGGACGCCTGGCAACCCTACCTGCACAGCTGATAGCCAACCTATACAGGGTGGAAACGATAAGTGATCTCACTCGATTATTTCTAAACTATACAAGATTTCCAAAAACTGGTTACTGATCCTGAAAGTACTTCATGAGCTCTATCCAACGGTACCAGTAATAGGTTATAAAATAAACTGGATCCATCCGAAAATTCAATGTTTCCGACATCCATACATTTGGTACAGCCTCATAATATTAAAAACTACACAAGATATCGTAAAACTGGTTACTGATTCTAAAAGTGCTTCACGAGCTCTATCCAATGGTATCAATATTAAGTAACAAAATAAACTGGATCTATCCAAAAATTCAATGTTTCGATCTTTCATACATTTAGTACTATCAGTCTTAAAATGTCACTCATCTCTGGATAATATTATAGCAAGTAAAGCCTAAAAATAATGTTTTTCATAAATAATTTTAAATAAGAATGCAATTTATGAGTTTATTTTAACTTTATTATTTAATTTAAAAAAAATACATATACCTACTTCTAAATTGTGTGGTTGGGTTGGAATACATTTAGTATGGAAGCTGGAAACATTGAATTTTCAGATAGTTTTATTGGTATCATTTGAAAGAGCTCGTGAAGCGCTTTCAGGATCAGTAACCAATTTTTCGATATCTTGTATAGAAATACTTAATCGAGTGAGATCACTTATCGTTTCCACTCTGTAGATGTGCTATGAACATTGTTTATAGCTATAATCACAGTCTCATAGCTAATCTCCAAAGTTTAGTTTATAGCAGCATTTCCATGTGATTTCCCTTTTAAATAAACATAAGTAATCTATTCTTGTCATCTACATACCCGTAAATTAGTAATTGCAGCTTAATCAAGTTCGTAATTAAAGCTAACATAGCTTTTAACATAAAGATATGGTGTAATTTCTCGGCAAACCATTAATCTTGTGATTAAATAAGTAGTTACCCAATTTAGTTTGCTTAAGGACGGCAGGAAGTCGGGAAGATTTATGGTTTTAAATGTGTCCTCATTAAAATAAAAAGTGTCCTTCGCTCTTATAATCTATACTTATTACTTATTTACTTATAATAATAACTAGCTTTCCGCCCGCCCGCGGCTTCGCCCGCGTGGAATTTTGTCTGTCACAGAAAAACTTTATCGCGCGCGTCCCTGTTTCAAAAACCGGGATAAAAACTATCCTATGTTCTTTCCCGGGACTCAAACTATCTCTATGCCAAATTTCATCAAAATCGGTTGCGAGGTTTAAGCGGGAAAGCGTAACAGACAGACAGACAGAGTTACTTTCGCATTTATAATTTATATTCTATACTAATACTAATATACTATATACTAATATACTTATACTATATACTAATATTATAAAGCTGAAGTTGAGGAACATGACGCTCAACCACCATAAGGAGTTAGAGCATTTAATTTACACAGTCTTGGTTTGTCTATATATACTGGGCAGGGTAAAAAACTTCGTCACCGCGATGCAGGATTGTATGCGCGGTGGAGTTTGCCATAGTAAGATCGTAACAGCGCCATCTGTTGGTACGGTTTGTAGTGGCGCAATTTATTAATCACAGTTTGTTTATTTGGTTGAACGCGCTAATCTCAGGAACTACTGGACCAATTTGAAAAATTCTTTTTGTGTTGGATAGTCCGTTAATCCCTGAAGGCTTTAGGCTATATATCATCACGCTAAGACCACTAGGAGCGGAGCACCAATGAAGAATGTTTCAAATCAGTGATTTTTTTCCTTTTGAGAGCTGACGCTGCGTAAACGGTTAAAGTTTCGCATAAATTATGTATGATAGGATTTTCCCCTTTAAAAGTTCTACAAAAAAGTCCGCTACAGCATATGTCTATCTTTTATGGTTGGCTCACTGTAACCTTTTTGTCTGGATGTCTGGATGTTTGTTCCTCTTTCACGCAAAAACTAATAAACGGATTTTGTTGAAACTTTACAGTATTATTATTTATAAAAGGGCCTCCACTTAACCTCGGAGTGGGTGCCCGCTCGCCCAACAATGCATAGTAATGCATGAAAGTCATGCCGCGGGCACCTGCTTGCGCTGTATACATAAACTCATTTTCGCGCGAGAGTTTTGGCGGAGGCCCTTGAGGTAGTGGCAGTAGTCTTGAGGAAAAGCTCCTTCTCCCAAGGCCAGTGGCATGCTGGAAGCTTGGTGATTCTAGCACCTGTAGGAAAATATAAAAAAAAGTTTATCAATAATACTGCGGTAGGTGTAGTTTTCGATTTCGTTGTAAAAAAATAATACCACCGAGTAACTTTCACCGGATCAAAGACCGAGCTGCATATTCATAAAATATAAGAAAAAAATATT